TTCAATTGTGTTTTAAATTTTAAAAATATATAAACATTTTTAGTGAGGTATAACATAAAGTAAAGTGCACAGATTTTAAGTACACAGCTCAATGAACTTTTACATATATACTCCTGAGTAGCCATCACCTAGATGAAGATGTAGACCATTCTCAACACCCCACAAAGTTCCTTCATGTCAGCTCACGAGCAATACCCTCCCCACTACCCTGGCCCCAAGGGAGTAGAGAGGCGCAGTAGTGGGATATTCTGAGGAGCTCTGAGGAGCAAAAATCAAACACACTCTGGCAGGACCCTTGGAGTGGGGCCAACTTCAGACAGTAAGGGTCTGGCAACTACCCCAGGATTCTCCCTATTATGGCAATTTGGTCAGGCCAAACAGGAGAAAAATGAGGCTCCCAAAATCATTAGCAAGAGGATAGGATGGTTGGCCATTGGCCAGGCACTATGTACCTAAGGCTATGCCCTTATGGGTGTGGCAAAAGATGCTTTTCAGAGGAAGGTTGAGAGGTGGCCTGCATCATTAGAGGTAGAGAGGGGTGAATTCTTGGGGTGTCGCTTCACTAGGTCATATGCTATAGCATGAGCAAGCAGGACCCATGCTACAGCCAGGGAATCCTTCACTAGTGGCTAAACGCATGCTGAGGAAATGGGCTCACCACCTCACAGTGGGGTAGACCTAGACCTCCAATGCCAAGAAGCACTTGATTCAGTTCCTGTATATGTCCTGAGCCCTTCGAATCAGAGTTGCTGCAACCTCAGACATTTCTCCTGGAGCTGAGGGAGCAACTGGGGAGGGTGCATGAACTAATAGAAAGAATAGCACGCTGAGCAGAGCTAGACAGTGGGTTCCCCATGACATTTATTTCTCAGTCATTCTATGAGTAGCACACGGTATTGGGGTTCAACAGTATGAGTGTGGGGATATGGTGAGCCTGGAATTTCCAAAGGAGTTACAGAGATGGGAGAAGTGGAGGCACCAGTGTTGGGGTGGACCCAGATCCTGGGATATGTGTGCTATTCGGACTCACTCTAGTTTCTTTCAGGGGTATCTGTAAGGAATGCTTTTGGCTACAAATAAAGAGAATCCAGTCACAGTGACTAAACAGATAGAGATTGATCTGTATCATGTGAGTCCAGGGAAAGAAAGTTCCAGCTGGTGCTGCTCTAGAATGATGTAATCAGGCATTCTAGCTCTTTCCTTCCTGAGCCTTTCCTCTCCAGGATAGTTATCTGGTGGTCCCAAAATGGTAGATGCATCTCTTGACATCAGCATCACGTCCACATTGAAGGAAGGAAATAGGAAGGGGCAAAGGGCAGAGTCACGTGCCAGCTGCGTCTGTCCCTCTTTATCGGGAAAGAAAAATCTCTCCTGGAAGCCCCATTTAGCAGACTTCCACTTAGAGCTCATTGACCGGAACTGAGGTCATGTGGCCACTCATTGGTCAATCACAGGCTGAGGAAGCTGACCTTATTTTCTTAAGCGAAATAAGATTGACTTAGCCCAGGCCTCCTCAACCTTGGTACTATTGGCTACTATTAAGCTGCTACTTAAACAAATTGGGCTTCTGCTAGCAGAAAAGAGTGGGATGGGGAATAGGGATTGAGTGGTCAGTGGATTTTTTTTGCCATAGAATATTAGAAAACCCTGATCAACAATAGATGATGAATGTTGCTTTCAAAAGTCTTATCCTTTTTAGTTTCTGCCTGCTTTGAGTCACTCTCCGGTGCCTTCCAACAGCTATTTGTTTATGTTTTGTCCAGGTTTATAATCATTATGTCAGAAGTGTTAGTCTGATATAAGCTACTTCATCAAAATCAGAAGTTAGAAGTCTCAATGTTTTTATATTTATTATATTTATTATATTGGGTTAACTAACGCTTGAATTCATTGACTCAGTTATCTAAACAAATAATTTGCATAATAAAGTATTTGTTTGGGCCTGCGTATTCTAATCCTGGGAGCTCTGAATGAACAAATTATATTTGGTTCTACTTCAGATGAGCAAATGAGTCTACATGACATGTCATTTCTGTGAGGAACAAAACTTCATAGGAAATAAGAACCTCATCTACAAACCTCACCCAGCTTCCTGCAGAAACTCCTCTGGCAAACTAACATCCTGGATCTTACCTGCTCTCTTGGGCTGGCTTTAGTAGCCAGATCAGCTCTTCTAGCATCCTTGATGCTTTGTTGTGTTCCATCCAGATTTGCTTCTCCTCCCTGATGGCCTGGAGAGGGTCTATGCTTGTGCATACAGTAAGTTAACAGGGCTGATAACCCAATAAAAAGTATAGAGTGGATGAATGGATAAAAACAAACAAGATTCAACTATATACTGTCTTCAAGAGACTCACTAGATTTAAGGACACACATAGGCTGAAAGTGAAGGGATGGAAAAAGATATGCCATGCAAATGGTAACCAAAAGAGAGCGGGAGTGGCTATATTTATATCAGACAAAATAGACTTTAAGTAAAAAACTGTCACAAAGGACAAAGAAGGACATTATATAATGATAAAAGGATCAATTCATCAGGAATATATGGCAATTATAAATATATGCGCACTCAACATCAGAGCACCTAAATAAAAAAACCAAACATGGACAGATCTGAAGAGAGAAATAGACATCAATACAATAATAGGAGGAGACTCCAATAATACCCCACTTTCAATAATGGATAGATGACCCAGACAGAAAATCAGTAAGGAACCGGCAGACTTGAACAACGCTATGGATCAAATGTACTTCACAGACATATACAGAACATTCCATCCAACAGCAGCAAGAATACACACTCTTCTCAAGCGCACATGGACTATTCTCCAGGATAGATCACGTTAGGCCACAGAACAAATCTTAACAAATTTAAGACGATTGAAATCATTCCGAGTATCTTTTCTAACCACAATGGAATAAAACTAGAAATCAATAACAAAAGGAAAACAAGAAAACTCACAGATACATAGAAATTAAACAACATAATCTTGAACAACTATTGAGTCCAAGAGAAGTCAAAAGAGAAATTAGAAAATACCTCAAAACAAACAAAACTACAGAGTTAACATCTTTCCTCCCAGCTCTTGAGAAGGGGTTCCTTCTGATGAAAGTGTAATGGCACCCCAGCTTCTCTGTAGCTTCCATGTGGACACACTCCCTTTAGGCATGTGCCTGGCCCCCTCTGCCTGCTGCTCCTAACAGGTATTCAATACGACACCAGCACTGAGTAGGGTTAACTGACTTTTAAAAAGCAGAGTTGGGAAAAAACAGAACTCAAAGTTCTGTTTAAAAATGGGAATAACAGGGGCCGGCCGGTTGGCACAGTGGTTGAGTTCGCGCACTTTGCTTCGGCGGCCCGGGGTTCACAGGTTCGGATCCCAGGTGCAGACATACCCAGCACTCATCAAGCCATGCTGAGGCAGCATCCCACATAGAGCAACTAGAAGGATGTACAACTATGACATACAACTATCTACTGGGGCTTTGTGGAGAAAAAAGGAAAAAAGGAGGAAGATTGGCAACAGATGTTAGCTCAGGGCCAATCTTCCAAAAAAAATGCTAAAAAAAATGGGAATAACATAAAAATTAATAAGGATAACACATCTCTAAGCAGGAGATTCCAAAGGAGGTTGCCAATCATAACTATCCCCCCTCCCTGCCAGTCCTGGCCACAGGAGCAAGAATGTGTGCCCCCGAGGGATTCAATTAGGGACATTTCCAGAGATTTTTTAAATTTAAACTAATTTGAAATTAGAACAAAGAGGAGTCCCTTCCTCTCCGAGGATGACCTGGGAAGATGAGGAGCTTGGGGCTGTGGATACATGTGGAGGATACCTTCTACCCTCAGGGAGAAAACCAGTGTAAGAGACTGAGGCTGCCGTGGAGAGAGAAGGAGAGTTGAGACATGGAAAAAGAGAGTCTGGCCACCTTCAAGCTCCTAGTTCTAGCCACCCAAAACCAGAATATCTCTATCCTTCTATGGTAAGAGGAGACGATAAATTCCTCCCCTCTTTGCCTCAGTTAATTGAATTTGAGTTCCATCACCTGCAAACACCAAGGTTCCAGCTCATACACTCTACCATTCATTTGGCATTTTATTATACACTCATTACTGTTGTTATCAGATGTTTTTATATAAATGTCTCACTTCTCCAACAAGAAAATAACTTTCTTGACTGGTAGTTTTGCCAGCACACCTACCCCAGTGCTGAGCACATGGTAAGTGCTTTAAATCTGTTCATTAATGGTCATCAAGAAGCAGCTGCACAGCATTAGGAATAGGAGCAGTCGATGACAGATAAAAATTCCCGTTCAAGTAATTCCTCTTTGTTCTGAACTTGCACCCAGCTGACCAGTCCAAATAAGATCCAGCTGTACGATCTGGGCATTTGCCCACATTACACAATTTATTTGGAATATTGAAAATTGCTTTCCTTCTATATATTGACTTGGCATTCCCGGTTAGGTTCTCACTCCTGTGAAGATTTTCGGTAAAGTTCATCTTTCTCTGGGTGATGAGTGTCCCTTCCTCCCTCTCTCCTCACTTCGGGACAAAGAATATCATATTAGTGCTTATTAAGGTTGAGTCTATTGCTTTGATGAGCTGAAAGGCATTTCCTAAAAGGCATGTGAATGGCCCTCCAAGCTGGGTGCTTTGTCAGAGGGGATAGTTGCCTTCACCTAAGCAGTCAAGTTGTTTGATGAGGGTATACCAAACCCCACCCCCTCACTGAGTGGAAGCCACTGCCTCCTGAGCCGCTGCTCCACCAGGCTGTCCAGGGGTGTTCGACACAGATGGGCAGCTGGTCGAGAGGACAGATGCAAAGATGGAGACTTCTACCCAGCAGACTAGTATGTGACCCAGCTACATTATCTGGGAAGTTTCACACCCTACGCACTTTACTTGAAATTCTGGCAATTTCTTTCTTTCTACGTATTGACATAAACATTGCTTGGCTTCCCTTTGTTGTTTACAAACAAAGCAAACACCCAGATACCTGTAAATATAGTATTTATGTTTTACTATTGAATATCAAAATTAGTTGGGCCATTGGGAAAGAATTTAATTTAGCTGCTGAGTGGAAACCAAGGTTGTATTTCTTTGAAAAGATGAAACCAGTGGGCTGATGCTTTAAACATGAATGTCTGCACAGATGGAAATTCCGAAGATGCCCAGGAGCCCAGCTTTTGCACAGGCTCCAGCACGGACATTATCTGAAAAGCAGGAAAATTTTAAAAGAAGGAGCATTAAAGAATATACTATTAGAATGCAACAAACCAATGTCTTTTTGTAAATGTCTTGACTAAGTGTTATACATGTAATTTCCTGTTACCCAAGATTTTAGCCCTACTTGTATTGCAATAACATATAGCTTAAATAATACTGACAATTCCTGGCAGTGCTGTCTGAATCAATCCAGTTGATGCTATGACATTCTGTGTTGATGGCATGCCTATGTGCCTTTACTTATAAGTACTAATGACCTTACTAAAAGAAAAATATCCTAATTAAAAATGTTTTTCTCAGCAGTAGAAATGTAATAAATGCTAATTCTTTTCTTCTTTATCTACCTTCCACTACTCTGGGGAATTTCTTTTGTTGCATTCACCATCTGTGCCCAGCCTCTCTTTCATTCTGGCCGCTCTGCCATATTTAGAAACTTCGTGTAAAAATACCATTAATGACTACAGTGACATATGTCACCTGGATGAATCAGGCTTTTATTCCCTGACTGTCAGTGTGCATTTCCTGCTCTTTATTGGACTAATTCTATCCTAGATTCTGAGAATATTTTTTTAACTTTTTTGAGGAATAATTGACAAATATATTTATATGTATTTAAAGTGTACAATGTGATGATTTGATATCCATGCACACTGTAGAATAATTACCAAGATCAAGATAACACACCCACTACCTCACATAGTTAACATAAGTAACTTTTTTTATGTGTGTGGTAAGAATGCTTAAGATCTACTCTCAGCAACTTTCAAATATATAATACTATGTTAACTAGAGTCACCACGATGTCCTTTAGATTGTCAGAACTTATTCTTCTCATAACTGAAAATATGTGCCCTTTGACCTACATCACCCATTTCCTCCCCACTCCAGCCCCTGGCAACCATCATTCTATTCTCTGAGGATATTTCTTAATGATTTCCTTCTTACTATATCCAAAATATGCTATTCTAAGGGCCCAGAAGACTCTTCCCTGCTGTAAATTCCTATATGTGAAAGAATAAGAATCCAATCATTTTTCCTTGGCACCCAGGAATCTTTTCTTATTCCTTCCTTTATGTCAACTCGTCAACCTCTCCACCAGACTATGTGTTCCTTGGAGGCAGAGTTTGATTCATTTCTGTATCTCCCTAACATTCAGCACAATTTCCACACATGGTAGGTATTTAATTCCCAGAGTAAACCAAATTGAGTCATATTTCACGTTTATTTGTATTTAACATAGCACCTAGCAGAGTGCCTGGCACATGGGAGCTTTCAGAAAACATTTGGTGAAGGATTGGTGTATTGGTACTCACCTGTATCTCCAACCACTTCCCCCTTATACAAGGGGACATGTTTGCAGAGCTGCTCAGTGGGTGACCCGAGCAGGAACCAGTCCACATTTGTAATCAGGGACTGCAGAGGGTTGTACTTGACCCAGATGTATTTGTTGGAGAATATGTTGTCCAGAGCCTAGATCAGTGTAATAGAGAGGGACAGTGTAAAATAAGTGGACGTAACCTGGTGTGCCTTATTCTAAATTGTGACTGTTTTTCTCTTTCAGATTGTTAAGCACAAGATGGTGAGAGATCTCAAGACTTCATCTCTTTCTGACCACTTGGTCTGCAGAGAAGCCTTGCTATAACCAATGTCATTTTGCTGCTGGTGCCAATGAAACCCAGAGAGGGTGAATCCCATGCCAAAGGTGGCACAGATGGGAAGTCACTGAGGGAGAATTAAATCTCAGGTCCCTAGCCTCAAGCAGTGTTTGTTATTCTTGCTATACCATATTGCTTCTTTGCACCTTTGTGTCATTGAGTATTCTAACTTCTGCCATTTTTCTGCCAATCACTGTTTCTTAGAGCCTTGCTCTGAGAAGAGAAGCTGTTCTTTCTACAGTCCTTTCTACAAAGACACTGGAACTTATTATAAGTTCTTGTATTTGGGACTGTATGGTAGAAATCAAGCTAAGAGAAGTACTCCTGCCCTCAAAAACAATAAAAGTGAAACACTTTAATAAGTTGAGGGTCTCATCTCCACAGTAAGGTATAATATGACCTTCTGCCTCACCATCTTCATTTCTTCATAGGCACCAGTATTCCCTGGCTCAAGAACAAGGAATATTTAAGGGTACTCCAGAATTACCTGCATATCATAGATGTGCTGTTTGAGTTGGTCCAGAGTAGGGGTGGTTTGACGGTTCATCTTCAGGATGTAGCAGGCTCTTCGGGAGAGCACCCTGGATGCGATGTAGCCCTGAGGCAGCAAAAGCACAGTTAGCACTCCTCCCCAGTTCCCTGAGTTCTGAACTTGGTGAGAATGACGTCTGAGCCTTGGAAGACAGCCTTGAGCAAGCACAGTGAGTGCATGTGATTACTTTTCAATTGCAATAGATTCTATCCATTCGACTTCTTTTATATAGTAGCTTTACTTTTTCACTTGTGGTTTCTATCTCTTTGAAATTGTGTAAATCTGTGATTTGTACCTCACTTTTCATGTTATGGAACCAGGGTCTGCACTTTGCAATTTTAAAGACTGAGAAGAAGCAGCTCTCGGTCTCTTTCTATTGATTTTGCTCTGCATCTTCCTCAATTTGGAGCAAATACAATATTCTTTAGAACAGTGTTTTCCAATATGTTAGTTACTAGCCACATGTGGCTATTTAAATTTAAATTCAAATTAAATAAAATTTAACATGTACTTCCTCTGTTACACATTTCAAATACTCAATAGCCAGAAGTGGGTAGTAGCTTCTCTAATGGGAAATGCAGATATGGAACGTCTCCACCATTGCAGAAAGTTCTGTTGGACCGTGCTGCTTTAGAAACTCTCCTAAACATATCCACACCCACTCTCACCCCACACACATGCATGTTTCATATATTCTCCCCTCCTTTACCATCTTCTCTCCATCCTTTCTCCACCTCAAATCCAAGCTGGCTAGATAGGAATGGGTTGGAGGAAACTGAGATTGGAAGTGCAATGGAGGGTGAGGACCTTGGAGCCAGAAGGAACCTAAGGCCATCTTATCTTCATCCAGAGTGGAATTTCTTCACAGAGTTTCAAATAATTATACCGTCTACAAGGGTTTCTATAATAGAAACCCTTCTAGTTCCTATTTTTCAATTCTCACAAATTGCTAGTTCCTAAAAATCGAAAATAGACCAAAGCCAAGTCTGAGGATGGTGGAAGAGGCTTAAACCAAATCCTCACCACTCTACTTTTTTAAAGACACTTTTGGAATTTCCCTGGCACCTGCTTAAAAACAATTTCACTACAACTTCCTTTTAAACTGTATCTTTCAAAGACTCTGTACTTTCAAATGTGTCATGGAACTCCCAACGCCAATGAGGAGGAGGCATGTGATGAGGTTTCTACAAGAAAAGGAGAAGAAAAGCATGTTCAGACGTCCAGTGAGCTGAGTCCATCTACAACCTACTTATATCCACAGTGCATAGCTCTGTACCGAGGTGAAAGCAGGTGCATAATTAGTGTCAGTGCCACAAATGGAAGACAAGCAAATGACTAAATGGGTGAAGAACAGAATAAGTTTTCTGAGCAGGTTTCTGAGACATTGTCAATAACGGTAACCAAAACTTGGAGATAGTTTGGTGTTTTTAGGTAACATACTTTCCTTCTTACTAAAGAAGTATGATTTATTGCACATCATACATACATAGTTAAATGTGTATTGTTGCTCTGGATTTCTGCTCTTTTGCAATTGTTTCATAGCTGTTCTTTGTCTGCATAATTTTTTGTAGTAGAAGCCCTAATTCATTCATTTATTCATGCGACAAGTATTTTTGAAAGTCTGTGTGCTGGGCATTGCTTTGGGTTTTGGTCACTCTTCTAGGCACTTTCTGAGCCTGTAGTGAGACAGTAGCATCACACTTCCAATTTCTACCTGAAAAGGTCAAGCAAATGTGTATGTTTCCTGTCACATTTTTTCTTAGAAATAGTTTTGTTTGTTTTTTAATCAATAGCTTGATAATTTAAAGAGAAAAGCAGAAGTAAGGAAATTCTGACAGAATGGCAAGGATAGATCTTGGAATTCAAATGTGAACTAAATGGCTGCCCCACTACCCTTCAGAAACCTGGTCTTGAAGAATATAAAAATTCCCTTGCTGTTTACATGTTTATAGTCAAAAATCGTGGTAGAGGAGCACAATCCAGCATGGATGTTGATGATGGCGATATCTTTTTCACTGTCAATCGTCACTGTCTCCTGAACACTGCCACCATTGTTGACTTGGCTGATGATGTTATAAACCTAGATTGATGACAAAGACATAATAGTTTTCCCATAAATAGTATGCATTTGAAAGCAACCCTCTCAGCAAAATTAGGCCTTCCACCTGCTATAAGAGATTAAAGCCTGAAACCTCTCCATTGGGATCCCAGACCAAAAGCCCATGCTAAAATAAGAATGCAAACCTCTCCCTCATAGGTTACCGTATTACGTATGGGAGAAGCAATGACATTACAGGAGAAATGAGATTGAGCAATGGGTTACATTTTTTAAGGTATTGCAGTTGGAAAAGAATAACCAACCTCATTGTTTTCATTACTGGTTACTTCTGAGATTCTATCCCAAATAGGTCATATGGACTTTCTACTGTCCTTCAAATTATCTTGCATCTTCCTTTCCCTTTCTCAACATCTCCAAGATATAAAATCCATAATAAATAAGCTCACCTCGTATCCATGAGATTGTGTCCCAAAGATGGCCAGCACCACCAGAAATACCACCTGAAAAACAGACCAGGCACTCCCATCCCTATAGGGTAGTCACTCAAGGTAGAGACATGAAGGGACGCTGGACAGGACAAGCACAAATATCTCAGAAAATGTACACCTAGAGACACTGGTGGGTGGTCATGGATGGTCAACAGTCCATTTCCAAAGTACAAAATGTACACATTCACTCATTTGACAGGCATTTATTGAGTTCATGCTATTTGTAAGACACAAGGTTCTACCTTTGCCACCCAATTCCTGACCCTTTCCACCATCACAACTTTCTAGATAGCGTGTGTTCTTATGCCAGGAAAAACTTGGGGCAGGTGAGCAGTGAGGAAGGACTCATTTTACTATTGGAATACTCTGGTGTGATTCACACTGGCTTTGGATTATAGGGGTCAAGTTGTGTCTTCTGGTAAAAAAAAATTATTTAATTCCTTGAGACTGAGAGGGTAAACAGATTTTAAATGGATTCATGGGCAATATACCATGGATTTCTAAGGGAAACTATGAAAATAGGATGCTTGGGGGCACGATTAACTTTGGAGGCACACATCAAGGAAAATCTCCCTGGTGATACCATCAGACCAAGTGTTGGGCCAGCAGACCAAGAGACTGACACTGAGGCAGTTCTGATGTTTTGCTGTAGTTATGTAAGAGTCTGATCCAACATGCTGATCCCAGTTTTGTGCTCTCTCTTCTGAACATCACGGTGTACTGCACTACCATTGAAAACTGCTGATGGCGGGGGTCTGCAGGAAGGGCAGATATTTTTAAGAACTGTCGGTGGGACTTTTCTATTTCCTTTTCCCTCCTGCCCATAACATTTCTCTCCTGGTGACTGGAGGTGGAGTGTCTAACAAAGACCTGTAAGCAGATATCCGCCCTGCCTGCTTGCATAGGAACACATCTTCTCTGACTCCAGGTCAGCTCTAGTAACCTCTGACACTCCTATATGTTGTATTTAATGGGTCTAACACAGAGATTTGAACAGGTGGTGGAGGACTGACCACCGTAATGATGATTAGAGAGAGCTCAGGATGTGTTCTCTGCCCCCAAATAACCACCCACCCAACACCATGATTAAGACACCATGGTTATAGATTTGTGCTTCAGGGTTAGGTGTCCTCTTGGAAAATCAAGAGACTCCTGGGAAGGGGAACTCTTAAAGCTGATAGTCTTTAACACCTTGTGGAGAGGTTGTCAATTTGCTTTGTACCTCAGCAGCTGAATGAGAATAAGGGATAGAGACTGGGGGAAGGGGTTCCATTCTGGATCAGAACATAGTCCACTGTCTATGGAGCACTGCAATGTGGAAATATAGGAGGCTTGGGATCAGGGCTGGGATCAGCTGGAGGAGTAGAGGTGTTCATAGCAGGGATGCTTTGCTTAAGGGAGAATTTAGACAAGATGGGCGGCCATTGAAGACACTCAGGCTGCTTAATTTTTGCAGTAATTGCTCCTGTAAGTGGGTCTTATGATGGGTAAATTTTACGCCTAAATCCCACATTTACTGGCTTGGGAACATCACATTCCTCTGTGCCTCAGACTCCTCATCTGTAGAATAGGGTAATACTACTCAGCTCGTAGAGTTGTTGAAGTAAACAGATGAGATTATTCATGTGAAATGTTTAGCATAGGGCCTAGTATACCCTTGGGAAATAACCACTTCTCTTTTAGATAGCAAATGCAATTGTCCTAAAATGCCTACGTTCTCTTCAAAGCTCACAATAAGGAATTATTATTAAAAATCTTCCAAATTAGGAGCCGACCTGGTGTCATAGTGGTTAAGTTCACATGCTCCGCTTCGGCGGCCTGGGGTTCGCAGGTTTGGATCTCAAGCATGGAACTATGCACCGCTCATCAAGCCATGCTGTGGTGGCGTCCCATATACAAAATAGAGGAAGAGGGGCAACAGATGTTAGCTCAGAGCTAATCTTCCTCGATAAAAAGAGGAGGATTGGCAATGGATGTTAGCTCAGAGCCAGTCTTCCTCACAAAAAAAAAAAAATATATATATATATATATATATATCTTCCAAATTAAAATTCTCTAGATATTTCCAAAATTTTTTTTTATCATAAACATCTCAAAAAATAGACAATGGACAAATAAATATCCAACTTAATATTCAACACTATTCCTGCCAAAGACATCATTAATTCAATCACAGAAGCTTAGAAGCATGCACTGTGTTTGTCTGAGGCCCCTGACATCTGAGGCATATTGGATATGAACATTTTCTGCAAGCAGCCGCCACAAGAGCATAAAGAAGCTTAAACAAATACTCACAAAGATTTTCATTTTGCCTGAAGGAAGAAGATGCTGGAGCAAATGAGGCTGCCTGGTGCAGTTCTACCCTTTATATTGGCTTTAAGGCGTGGAAATCTCTTTCCAGAATGATCTCTGATACACCCCAGCAAACTTATTTATCGGGTGAGACCAAACCACACAACCTGATATCAATGAAGTTCATTAGTCAGTAATGAAAATACACCACTTGTCACTCTGTAAATATTCCCTGCTTATCTGTTCTATGTTGCACTTGAGATTTCAATTTCCACCCTTTAAAAATATTGTGAGATGCTTGTTCTACACAAACATCTTAAAGACACGTAAGGACATATTCCTAATTTCTCCCCCTCGATGGTAAAGTCCTCCCTCAAGACTGGACTTAGACACCCACTCAATGTCTTTTCATCCCTGCCTGGCTTGTTGAATTCTTCCATGGAACGAATGGACGTGGGACTAGAGGCAAGGACAGTGGCTGGAGGACCTGCTTTGAGAACAAAGGGCCTTTTGGTTTTATTTCTCTTCCTTTTTAGAGTTGGTGCCAATTTCTAGAGATTCATAAGGATCAAGGCTCAGACAGCACCCTGCCCAATTACCAGGGTTAACCAGATTTTTACGTTAAGCCTTGCCCAAAACTCTGTGAAAACAATGTTATATATCTCTAGTTATCTTGAGGCGCATTGAGAAAGTCTCAGATTAAAAAAAATAGAATAAAGTTTAATTCGTGTACTTTTTATAATGCCACAATTAGAAATGGCTAGCTAGTGTTTGGGTGGGATCATGAACTCAGACGGTGGGGAGAAAAAAACAAACAGTACCTGTAAACTGTAAGATTGTTAAATTTTGAGAATTACTACAGTAAGCAAAGAAATAACATAAAGTGACGTCCTTGTCAGCTGGAATGACTTCCTAACTAGCAGCTTTAAAAAAACGGGGCTTTTAAAAAGCAGACATTTGGGCAATTTGGGGGTTACCTAGTTCACCGGAATTCCTCTACTGTGGCTAGTCAGCTGGGGTGGGTGTAAAATATGCTGCTTTATTAAATCTTTCCGGGAAAGCAGCAGTGAGAAGGATTACAGTTTTGTAGTATATCTGCAAATTTTCTCCCATATCTAGCTCCAAAGAACCCAAGAGGCAAGCCAGCTCCTAGAGGGCAGACAGAGGTGTCACGTCCTATCCTCTACTTTGTCTCCCTCCTGTTCCCAGGAGTTCTGAGTCTATATGTCTAACAATGATAACAGTTAGCATTTATGGAGTACTTAATATGTTCTAGCACTTTCTAAGCACTTTGCATATATTGATTCGAGTCTCATAACAGTCCTATAGGTTACCTTCTATCCATGTCCCATTTTACAGATAGGAAAGCTAAGGTGCAGGGAAGTTAAGTAACTCCTTAGTGTTATACAGCTTCTAAAGGTAGGAGTTGGGATTTGAGCCTGATCTAACTCCTCAGTCCTCACTCTTAACTACAAGTACTGCATGGCCTCTCTGATTGGTGCTGGGGAAGCGTAACTTTTTGCCTTACAGAGATGGGGGCATTAGCAAGGAGGGTTTAGCTTCCAGAATGTTTCTTGATCAAAAGATAGACTTGGAAATAGGCCTACCTACAACTCAAGGGTGAAAACTTTCAATAGGGAGAATGAGACACGGTGTTTGTAAAAGTTGTTGTAAATGAAATTCATGGCTAAGCTGCCCAGGTCCCCGTAAGGCGGTGAAATCGCTGTGGAAAGACCTCATGCTAGACACTCCAATATGGTAGGTCTGAGAGTGGGCACAGGTGTGTGGACTTTTAACTCCCATGAGTGGTTCTGATCGAAAGAGCTGTTTCAAGTCCTGCCCAAACCCCTCAGGAGGAAAAATAGACTCACACGGATTAAGAAACCTGGCCATGGTCATATACGTAGTTACTGGCAAAAATAAGCCTACCCCTCAGGCCTTCTGATTTTAGGTCCCATGTTCTCTAGTTGGTAGAGCATTGAAAATTTCTTCTATAGTTGTGCTTTCGTCTTTTTCTATATAATGCTTATTATGAGTGTTTTGCTTTGTGCAGTTCACAGCAATGTTCTTTGGAATACACATGTTCATCATGGTACATCGTCCTGGAGCACCGCATCTTTCATTCCCACGTAGTACGTCCCACTTTGCCTCTATTCATGTTGTTTGCCTTCCGTTTGCTTTCTTTAGGTACTATTTGGAAGGTATACTTCTTTGATCCTTTTATTTTCAACTTTTCTGTGTAGTATTTAGTTTTTTTAATTTCAGCTTTATTGAGGTATAATCGACAAATAAAATAAGACATTTAAAGTATACATCATGGGGATTTGATATATGTATACATTGTGAAAGGATTTCCCCCCATCTAGTTAATTAACACATCTATCACCTCACATATTTATCTTTTTTTTTTTTTTTTTGGGAACATTTAAGTTCTACCCTCTTAGCAAATTTCAATTTGCTAATAACAATAGTGTTATCAACTATAGTCATCATGTTATTCATTAGATCCTCAGACCTTATTCATCTTTTAGCTGAAAGTTTGTACCCTTTTACCAACCACTCCCTATATTCCCCACCCCCCAGCTGCTGGCAACCACTTTTCTGCTCTCTATTTCTATGAGTTTGACGGTTTTTTTAGATTCCACATATAAGTGATATCAGTATTTGTCTTTCTTCGTCTGGCTTATTTCACTTAGCATAATGCCTGCAAGTCCATCCATGTTGTCACAAATGACAGGATTTCCTTCTTTCTCGTGGCTAAGTAATAGTCCATTGTATATACATCCCACATCTTCTTCATCTGTTGACAGACTCTTAGGTTGTTTCTATATCTTGGCTATTGTGAATAATGCTGCTGTGTGGTATTTTACTAAGTTTTATTTATTGTCTAATCTGAAAGACTCTCTCTTTTAATAGGTGAGTGTTATCTGCTTCCTTTATTGTGATTATTAATATTTTAGAGATTTATTTCTACTTTCTTATTTTATTGTATTTTTACCACTGTCTTTCTTTGCATTTCTTCCCATTTTTGTCTCCCTTCTTTGTATTGATAAAGATTTTATATTCTTTTTCCCTTCTATTTCTGGAAGATTTTGATTTTTTTTTTAAATTTATTTCTAACTTTGAAATTTTAGCATACATATTTAATTATTCATATTTCCTACAAATCCAAAAGGTATCCTATATTTTTTTTTTTTGTGGTGAGGAAGATCAGCCCTGAGCTAACATCCCTGCTAATCCTCCTCTTTTTGCTGAGGAAGACCGGCTCTGACCTAACGTGTAATGCCAATCCTCCTCCTTTTTTTTTTCCCCCAAAGCCCCAGTAGATAGTTGTATGTCATAGTTGCACATCCTTCTAGTTGCTGTATGTGGGACGCAGCCTCAGCATGGCCGGAGAAGCGGTGCATTGGTGCACACCCGGGATCCAAACCCAGGCCGCCAGTAGTGGAGTGCATGCACTTACCGGCTAAGCCACAGGGCCGGCCCCAGGTATCCTATATTTTGATCTTCTTCTCAATAGAGACAAAGAACTCAGTACCCTTTAACTAATTATGGAACATCTTTTCTATCCCCACATTGTTATATTTGTGTAGAGTTTTACTTTCATCTTTAAAAAATAGCACAAAAATTAAGTTTACCATCAACAGATAATTAAATTTATTTAAATATTTTATCAACTTCTGTGCTAATTCTTATCTTTATATCCCCCAAATTTTCTTTTCTTTTTAAGTATATTTTTAATAGTTCTTTTATTGGAGCCTATGAATGTTAAATATTTTCTGTCTTTTTATGTTTGAAACGTCTCTATTTTCTCCTCACTTTTGAATAGTAGTTAGAGGTTGACAGTTATTTTCCTTCTAGCACTGTAAAGATACTACTCCATTGCCTTCTGGCATCCACTTACTGATGTGAAACCTGCTATCAACGTAATTACAATATTTCTAACTTGTTCTTTTTCACAGTAATATGCTGTTTTATTTCTGACTATTTTGTCTCATAATTTTTTGTTCTTTTTATATATTTAATACTTTCATTTATACCTTTGAGTATCTTAAAAATCCTTATTTACTGTCTTTTTCTTGCTGTTCTATTGCTCAAGCAAAATAGTGAATCTATTCCCAACTATTGATTTGGTTAGTTGCCTTTTTTTACGTAAGTTTAAACGCATTTTAACTCTTAACTTTTTTATTATGAGACCTAAATCCTCTATTTTTGCAATATTTTTATCTTTCCTTTTTCCTCTCTGTCTCTCTCTCATGCGCACGTGTGCCTGCACACACTCAGGTGCACACGATTTACTTCTGCAACTCTTCTTTTTATTTTCCAAGCATTTACATCTGGATATACTATACTATAGCAATCTCACCATGTCTAAAATAAAAGTTGTTGCCTTCTGTCCCCCAAAGCAGCTCTTTTTCTAGACAATGTTATTTCCATTGACAATTTGTCCAGGTCTTCAGCTTTACTCTGAAGTCATCCTTGATTCTTCTGCCATTTTTCCTCTGTAATGCCTCTACCTTTTGTGTCTTTCCTTCCAATCGCAGCCCAAACTCCGTTTCTTGTCCTCATCACCACACACTGTCCCTGTCACAACTTTTATTAGTCAGAATAATTGACATTAGCGGCTATAACAAGCAACACCTAAATCTCAGTGATTTCACAAAGTAAATTTTTATTTCTCACTCGCATAAAGTCCAATACAGATGATTTCATGGTGGGTGGCTCTCCTCCAAGCAATGACTTATCACCTCCTCTGCTCCCCTACTCCACCAAAGTTCCACTTTGATATGGTACAGTCAGCCTATAAATTCATTACCATGCCATTTTTGCCATACCCAAGAAAGGGCTCAAAAACTGCTGTTAAGAAAAAACAAAAAAAAAAAGATTCAAGTCTAAATGGCCCTGAGATGAGGGTACAGTTATTTGAGCAAACTAATATAGATACTACCAAATAATATCTCGAGCTCAGTGTGTAACAAATTGCAGGTTCTTGATAAGTGGAATAATTCTGACTAAATTTTTCTCTATCTAATCGTGATTTAACTAGATATTTTGTAACCATAAAGGTGAGTCTGAGAGTAAAAACATTACAAGGTGGTCTCCTCACAGCCACTGAACA